GAGTCTCATTTACAGTGTTAAGCCAAAGTCCTATCCTCCTACTCAAGTGGACATTAAAGGTCCTGTGGCACTATTCAAAAAGAGAAGGGAGTTTCTCCTTATGCCCTACCCAACAATCCCCTGTATAAATTGGTCAATCACTTCCTGGCTATTTGTGTGATATTGTAGTGCTTACGTTGGCTTCTGTGTCACTACACTTTAGAGCAATTATCTGTGAAGCACTTTATCCAGATGTTTTGATGTTGTAGGTGCTATATCAAAATGCTAGGATGATGATTAATACTGGAAAACAGTCATAAACAGGAACCCTGGCTCACTGTTGTTCTCTGTAGTCCATGTTTGCCCCAACATTTCCCCTGGCTGACATTATCTTACTCAACACAGGCCAGGGAGTCATACACAGAATTGTTCTGGTTGTATATGGCTTAATTAAGTACCTGATAGTGATTTCACCAGCTGAGCCATTGGGAGAGTCCAGGGGGAGGGGGAGGGGACAATTTACTGTACAAAACAATGTAAAGTCAGGTCTTAATATTTTTTAAACTTGTCTCTTACATAATATATCAGATCTGAAAAATACACATTTAATCATCTCCCTTTCCTTAGAGCCAAAGCTTATTGAATGGATGACCTTTAATGGTGAATTTATGATCCCACACAACTAAGAGCCTGAGCCCAGGGTGGTTCCTCTCCACCCTGACAGCTATTAGAGAATCAATACAGGTAATATATCAGTTTCTGCTCTGCACTCCAACTGAGAGTGAGATAGGGTTGAAATAGGAACTGACAGGTAGCCACTTAGAGAAAATCAGTGGGTCAAATACATTGAAAGGAGGGAGCTTCACAAGGGAATATCCTCATACTGCTGTCAGCACTACTGAGAAGCTAGTGGTACAATACAGACAACTGAGAATTGCAACAACCTAAAGAGGCACTCCAGGACTCTACCCCACATGAAGGGCGCTATATAAATGCAAGTTGTTGATATAAAGAGAGAAGTAAAGAGGGGAAAACAGAACACCCTGAGGTGGGGTCCATCAATCAGCAGAAGAGGACTATTCTTAACCTGTTCATATACAGTCAAACCTGTTCAAGCAACCACCTCCATTCAGCAACCATCCCCTGTTAACAATCACCCTGGGACAGCCCGGTTCACACATCGACAAACCCTTACTCAGAGGCCACCCTTATACAGAGTGACCAAAACATTGTGATACCATTACAATGTCTAATAAGTCTTAAAGAAATTATATATATTTTTAAGATAATAGGGTAGCTATCACAACTTTTTGGTTACCCTGCATAAAGGCCACTTTGGCCCAGTTCCTTGAGAGGTTGTTCAAGACAGGTTTGACTGTATCTGGAATTGAAAGCAATACCATTTCTGTATGGCACCATGGAGCATTTTCTGCTTGAGTATTTTTTAAAACAGGCTTAAAGATAAATCATGTGCTCCAAAATTTAAAGAAACTTTATACAACCACTGTTATTGAGGGAACTGAATCTCAAAACTATTCAATGAAATTAATCTCTTTCTGTTCAAGTGGTTATAAAAACAATATTAAGATTAACCAAAAACAACAACATGCATTTATATAGCGCCCTGTACATTATTTGTAGCTATATAAATACATATAAATCCAATACATGCATACACATCCAAAAGGTAGAAAATGCATTTGGCTGGAGCTGGGGGATAAATCTAATCTTGGTTTAATGCAGTAAGATCGCTTTACAGGTTTCATCTGTAGATAACACTAACAGTGCAGATCTCACAGACAAAAAATCTTTTAACTTGTTTATTGAACAGAAAAAACTGATCAATATCTTTTAGCTGCATTATGTGTTACTGAGCTAGTTGGATTTTCTCTCTCTCTCTTTCTCTTTGGGCACGAGCAAGACTCCCCATGAAGTGCTGCTGAAAAGGTTCTGAAAAACAAATTCCGACATTTGGTGACATGATGGAGCTATCAAAGGGCAGCAGATGTCACTGGACTATCCTTTGTCCCCACACCCACGATTCTTTGCCTTAAAACCACTTAATTGTTCCACTCTATTGTCATTAATTTGTGCCTTGCATAGTTAATTTTCACACTTGCTCCTTTGTTCATCTACCTCATTACTGAAAACATTCATTCAGCAGCCAAATATATTTCCAGTCACTCCAATTAGTCAGATGAGGCAAAAAGGAACACAACCACACAAGTAGGAACTGCCAGGGAAAGTCATATGAATTCCGCTTATATACTCTTAAAAAAATACCTGGATTAGTGCCTAAAACAACCGTTTCCTATATAGTAAAGGGTTGGTGTGGAATCGAGCAAACAGCTGTACAGGTCCCTGTGGAAAGGCCTCCTGCTCTGCCTTTAAGTGTTTTCATGAATATTCTCATTTAATTGGAAGTTTTATTCCTACTTTAAATGCAAGCGACTTTTAAGATTTTCCAACAATCCTTCTCCATTTGAGACAACAGCACAAGGCTGGAAAAATAAAAATAAAAGTTCAAGATATCACAGCAAGGTTCCATTTTATTCCATTCTTTGCATCCCTATCAGACATTACAATCTTTAAACCAATGTATCCTCTCCTGACCTGAAGTACAGCTACTATAATTAAAGTGAAAAATGCATGTCCAAAACAAACAGCACTTAAAAGATTAGCAGCTTTACAATTTCAATTGTTTTGCATAAAATTAAAAGTAGTTGTAACATTGCAAGAATTTTAAGTATATCAGAAATTGCCAATCATGCAGAAAGACAAAATATCAAGCTTCTCTGAAAGTAGTAATATTTTGCATTTTGTCTCTCTCAACACTGAGCATGACTACATGTTAAGCTTTGTTTTGCCTTTGTGCATTTTTGTAATTTTACGAAATAATCTTCATCAATGGAACAATATAAATCTACTTGACATAAAAAACCCACAAAAACAAAACTTTCAAATACAATAAATATTAGAGCACACACCATTATGGAAATGTATGTTTAACACAATAGCAAGACACTTACACACAAAATCTTAATTGTATTGTACAAACAGTTTAAGACACACTAAAATGATCAGAACTACAGTACTACGGCCACATAAAGTCTTGAGGTAGTTTTTTTTATGGCCGCAGAGTACACTGGGCTCAAAAGCATCACTCACTTGCATAAAACAGACCTGTGGTTATCCTATCATTTAAATGAGAAACTAACTGGGCAGTTTGACCTTAATTCTATGGGTACCTCTCACGGCTGCATATTGCTGCCTGATTATTACCACAGGATAACTGTCGACTATTTTCTCTCCTAGGCGTGCACTGACTGCAGGCAAAAAGGCAGGTAATCAGCTTGTTCCCACGGGTCCACCAATGCTGCTGTGGACCAGCTGTTACGAGATGCATGAGGTTGCGCCGTGGTGACTATCCATTTGACCTTCTTTTCCCCCTGGCCTCGGCTCAGTGCCTCTCCCCAGCAGGCTGGCTGGGTTTGGGCGCTCACTAGCAAAGGGGAGACTGAATGCGTGTCCCACCACTGCGTGGCTCTGATGTTGCCAGTAACACCTTAACACACGTGCAACCCACTCAAGTGCTTGTCCAGTCATTTTTCATGCCATTTCAGTGAATTGAGTAGCTGAAAAAATACGAATGGAAATTCGACAAAGGGAAAAGGCAGGATTTTTTAGTTTGGTTTTCAGATATTTGTCAGAACTGAACAAAAGATCATCGACCTGAAGCATTAACTCACTTTCCTCTCTCCATGGATGCTGCCTGACTTGCTGAGTGTTCCCAGCGATTTCTGTTTTATTTGGGATTTCCAACATTGCAGTATTTTCGCNTTTTTTTAGTCTTTCTGTGTTTACACTATCCAATTCACAGGAGGCAGTGGCTTTACTTACGGAGTCATTGAGAGCTAACATGAGACTCCAGCACTTAAAAATATCCAGGGAGAATAACGACTTCATCATTTTTCTGATAAATTCTGTCTGGAATCTTGTACTGTGCTAATTCCAGATTAGTAGCCTCGGCTACAACTTAGAATGAATGATGCAGAATTATTGTTTGGGAGTTACAACGACGACAAAGTTACATTTGTAAAGAGCCTTTCACATTGGGAGGACGTCCCAATAGAAAAGAGACCAAATGAGGCTGACTCTTCCATATTAAGAAAGCTTCAGTGCACTTATACATACTGATTGTAGCATATCAAAACTGAAGTAACTTTCTCAGTTAACATTACTTACTTGGCAAGCACCCTAAAAGCTTAGTGCCATGCCGTGCTCTGCAGAGCATCCTGAGTTTATAGAACATTTTATTAGATAAATGCTATGGCATTAGCGTTATAATCAAATCCAGATAAATGCATAGCTGATTCAAGCACAAAATTCTGAGTTACTAGTTTCTAGTCTCTCCTATCCCACAGAAATCCATTTGTTACATTACTTGGGAAACTAGTTATGTTTGTATTAGCATCTGTACAATATTTAAGGGAAAATCAGCAAAAGAAGAAATAGATGTCTATACTTTCCTTGCTAATGATTTATACTGGTAAATGCTAAAAGAGACAGAAATTCAACTCACTTTGTTTCGCTACCTGTTTAGCAATTATGACTCTCCATTGTCTGACTGCAGTTCTCTTGCTGTGCAATTCTCTAGATCAGTGGTGGCCAAATTGTGGCCTGCAGGCTGTCAAGGACATTCACACTTGATTTGTGGCATAAACCAAGAAATATTCAATCAAGAACATTTATTTTGTTGGCCGACCATAAAGGTTGGCCACCACTGCTCGGCATAGTTTCAATCAGTGCAAACCTAGCCACATTGCGGATTTTCAGAATCAACATCTTGGCAAAAAAATAAAAGTAAACATAAGATGTGTGCAAAACTCTTTGTAGTTATTTAAAACAAAATCTCCATCAATCCAGTCATTTCCTAACTCTGAGAGCAGGAAGGAAACTGACTGCACTTGTGTGGTTTAGCAAAAATGTGCCGCTAAGTATTTGTAAAAGTCTGTGGTTTCCTAATTCCAGGGTCTGCGGCCGTCATTATGTTGTATGGTGATTCCTGTGCTTGCTCCATAGGGGCTGTTCTCCTCTTTGTATAGGTTATTTGGGACAACTAGAGGCTCCTCACTTGAATTGTAAAGATAATTTTCATTCACAGAGTCTATTTGACCGATAGGAGGCATATGGTGTAATTCTGGCTTCACAGCAGTATCTACCTGGAATCTTTCACCTGGTGAAGAAATAAATATGGAAGTTAAAACCAAAAAGATTTCCAAGACAAGCACAGAGGTAGATGATTGCAACAATGGTACAAATAGCTATGTGCCTTTTGAAGTGAGAAATGAATAGTATTATGATAGCGTGTATTTCCTACAATGTTTGTGTATTGGAATTTTAGAACACAGGAAACAAATTCAACCTCAGGAACATACTATAAATTGTCTTTTTTACCTCAATAAAGAGATTTTTCAAGCAAGTGTTGGGGTGACGTCAGGATAACATTCACATAATAATAATAATCCTTGCTTTATCACGTTTTTGAGACATTTCAAAGTGCTTCACAGAATATATTGTAAAGTAAATTGACTGTATATTTTGTGCACGAAATGCAGCAGCCAATTGTGCACAGCAGTGTCCCACAAATAAGTTGTTGGTTGATTAACCAAATTATTATTTTTTCATATAAAAATATGGTATAAAATTAACCACACAGTTTCACAGCACTCTGCTTTTTTATCGTCCAGTTATACTTCATATTGAGCATTGTTCATCCATTATACATACAAATGTAAAGGGGAACTACTGTATGTTATGCTGGTGAAAAGACCTGCAACAGATCATTTAGCACTATCACTGAGCCATTACAGTACATTTCAGGGTACTTCAGCCCTTATTTATGCTGCTCTTCTTCTGTTGGAGTAGTGTGGTTCCACAAGCATTGCTTGCCCTAAATTATCTCAACTAGGAGCCCAATTCTTCATCTGTGATTCTTGTAAATAGTATAAGTGGATCTTCCCAGCCCAAGTCATAGTGCAGAGGCTAATATAAGACTCCTATCCCTCTTTGACTGTACTTATACTCATCTCTCCCTTCTCCCTTGTTTAGCAACCAACCCAGCCACGATGGAGTTCTCCAAGGTGCTATCCAGTGTGAAGGGTGCCGTATAAATGCTGTTGTTGTTGCTGGTCTAGTGATTCAGTTCCACAGAAGACGGAGGCTTTACCATCCAAATCGCTGACTGTCCATCATCTTGGGACTTCCTCCCGACGTGAAATACAAAAGTAATGTGGTGTTGTTGTTTACCAACCAATCCACAGTGGGAAACAGCAAACTTCTTAAAAATTAAAAAGTCAAAAGTCAGGTTGCTCATTGCATCGACTTTAATGCCACCAAGGAGAGCAAGCAAAACTGTGGGCATAGGTTTGCTTGTGCCTGTGAAGAGTCCACTATCCCCTATTCAACAGTGATGTGATCAAGCAGTCCAATTCCTGGTAAGTGAGACTTTACACTACACCTCATTCCGAACCCGTTAATTACAGACTGTATCAAATTACTAATCCAGACAACCCCACAAGGGTAACGTAGAACAATAGCTAACAAGAGCACGGAAATCATTCCAATCGGAGTCTTTGAATCAGGGTGGTGCAAGATCAGTTACAAATAGCTTTCAAAACAATTGCATTCGCTATTGCAAGTCACTACACTTCATTGTATACGTTGCGGAACTCTATGAGACGTTTTAACGACATGATAAAGTGTGATATCAACGCAAGAATTAGTATTATGAAACAGATTTGGAAAGCAGGAGGGTGGGATTTTTTGGGGTCAGTCTGATTTAGAGAAATTTGGCATCTACATTAAAGAGTCCTTGGCACTATTTAAAAAAGAGGTCAACAATCCTTCCAATTAATTGTTTGTAGGATCTTGTTCTGTCGAAATTCACTTCTACATTTGCCAACAAAAACAGTGCTGAGAATTTGACAACAGTCACTGTATCAAATAGCAGGTCATTCACCTGTCCCCCTTGATCACTCACCTATTGCCCCCAGGTAACTAACCACCAACCCCCCCACGGGTAACTCACCTCCTCTCCCCGGGTAACTCACCTTTTCCCCTTCCCCTCCTTTCTTTCACGTCCCCCCCCTCGCCAGTAACTCCTCACCTCCCCCCCCCATAACTCACTTGTGCCCCCCACCTCAGGTCACTCACCTGTCCCCTGCTCACCTATGATGCCCCCCCCACCCAGTCACTCCCCTGCCCCACAGTCACTCCCCTGTCCCCACAGGTAGGCCAGGTAACTCACCTGCATGCAGCTGCACCTGGTGCACCTTGAGCTCGTGCTCCTCGGGGAAGGTTTTGCCGCAGAGGGCGCAGGTGCAGCTCCTCTCCTTGGCATGCGTGCGGCGCACATGGCTGTCGTGGGCAGCGTGTGAGGCGAAGGCCTTCCCACAGTGACGGCACTTAAAGGGCTTCTCCCCCGAGTGCTGTCGGATGTGGGTGCGCAGGATGCTGGAGGCGGTGAAAGCCTGCAGCCAGAGGAGAAGGGCGAGAGGGGAGAAACAAAAGATTAAGAGAAAGAAATAAAAGTAGCAAAAACAGGCAATACAAGTTGCAGTTTCCCTTTGCAAAAAAGATAACATTTTTCTCACCTTGTTGCAATAGACGCACTTGTACGGTCTCTCCCCAGAGTGGACCCTCATGTGCTTGTTGAGGCTGGAGGACTGAGAGAAGCTCTTGCCGCACACCGAGCACTGGCCCAGAGAGAGAGAGCGAGAGAGAGAGAGAGGGGGGTGGGGAGAGGGGGAGAGAGGAGCAAAGTTGCGTTAAAATAATACTCCTTGCATTCGATATAGCGCCTTATCATGTCGATGAGACAGCTCAAAGCTGTGTACACAGAATATACTATGTACAAGTAACAATGGTGAAAAAGTATGCAATTGTGCAACTGACGGTTCTTACAAAGGACTGTGTAGAATTTAGAAATATTAGTTGTTAAACCATTGCTCTGTATATTTTATGGTTGGGGGTTGTTATGGTTAAATGTATTATTCCCAATTATGTGAAGAGACGGGTGTAATTAATTAACACAGCACCCATTATGGGAAAGCTCTTTCACACAGATGGGAAGGAGGGAGGGAGAGAAGGAAGGAAGGAAGGAAGGAAGGAAGGAAGGAAGGAAGGAAGGAAGGAAGGAAGGAAGGAAGGAAGGAAGGAAGGAAGGAAGGGTGCTGCGTTAGAACAGACAGAAGTGGTCAAATGCTGGATTCTGGGCCTGTGCCACCTCAAGCACCAGCCAGACCATTGGTCCCAAGTGGTGTCTGGGCACTCCAGCGGCCAGTTCTGAGAGGTAGAGTAATGATGACGATAATAATAATAATCTTTGCAGTTGATATAGCGCCTTATTATGTCCTGCAAACGTCTCAGAGCAGGGTTTACTGTAAAGTGTTGTGACTTGTGCACCTGTGGACCAGCGGTGCTCAGTGCATACCTCAGCTCCCAGGGAAGGCAGGAAGGGAGGAAAATACTCTAGTGCCACAAACATCACTGTCAAAAAGATGAACTCTTCATGTAGATACAAGTATACCTGTGTGAACATTTATTTATATAACCTTTGGCCATGACAGTACTTGAGGGTATAAAAGTGTTCTCGAAGAGATAAGAGATGTAAGAGATGAAACAATAATAATAATGCTTTCATTTGGAATAAAGCAGGAGATGGTATAATTGTCTATTGGTGCTCCCAGACGCTATATAATATACTATAATAAAGTAAAACCAATGCAAAATGGACTTAAAACGGATAATATAAATAATATAAGGACATAATAATCATTATTACATAATAATAAAGTTATATATTATTTATATGTAAATGCAAATTGTTGTTGTCATTGTCAGTGTGTCAACTATTCCTCAGTGTGCAAGGTATTCGTTGTTTACTATAGCTGTGGACCCACAACCTCCCCATCAGAACTGGTGGGAGATATCTGGTCAGGATGCATTTAATAAGCTCAGACTGTCAGACACAACGAGGACTGTTAGACGGTACCGTTTTAATTGACCCCCATCGAATAAGATTCGTTTGTGTTCTGTTCTTTCAGATGTAGGTTTGTAACATTTAAGACTCAAGTCACACATCAGTTTGTTTTGAGCAGCTTTCAATTAAAGCCATTATGGATAACCCTGATTTAACATATGTCGGATGGCAAAATTATTTGCAAAAGGTTAATTGTAAGAATATCGAAAATATCGTTGTAAAAATACTGGCTGTCAGACATGGGAAAATATTTAGTAAAAATATTGTCAATATTTTGACAAAACGTGAGATTCAGGGAGAAAGCAGTCGCTGAATACAATTGCACTCAACATTAGATGATATAGAAAGTGGTGCTTTTAAAGTTACAAATGTTATTTTCTGAATAACTTTGTTCATTTGAGCATTTTTTCGTTAAATCCAAGTCGCTTTTGCTGAGAATGGGTAGAATGAGAGTTAAGTGTGTGGTGTGTGGGTGGTGTGTGTGGTGTGTGGGTGGTGTGGGTGGTGTGTGTGGGTGGTGTGTGTGTGGTGTGTGGATGGTGTGTGTGTGGTGTGTGTGTGGTGTGTGTGTGTGGATGGGGTGAGTGTGTATGGTGTGTGTGTGCGCGTAAAACAAAATAATTGTCGGATTTCGTTCATTTTTCATTTAAACAAGTAAAACCAGGTGCAAAACGGACTTAAAACGGAATGCAAGTCGTGCAACAACAACAACAACAACAACAACAACAACAGCCACAAAATGCACCGATTTGCATTCACATGTCCTAAATCAGCGTCAGTCTGGGAGGGATGGATTATGATTTATTTCGAATTAATATTTTTTTTTCCCCCCCCGGAGCGCGTCTCACTTTGTGCGGCCGATGTTTCTCGTGGACGTGAAGGACGTGGATCCTCAGTCTGTCTCGCTTCTCGAATGACCTGTTGCACAGGTGACAGGGAAACTTGCGATCGCCCTGATCCACACAGCGGGTGTACTTCAGGTGTTTGTCCCGGTAGTATTTGTAGGCGAAAACCTTCCCACATCGCTCGCAATTATACCCTTCTCCGGACTCTGCAACAACGACAACAACAACAACAACGAGAGAGAGAGAGAGAGAGAGAGAGAGAGAGAGAGAGAAATCAGCAAAATTGCAAAATAGCTAATGTCAGCAAAACCGCAAAAAAAAAATAGAGAGAGAGAGAGAGAGGGAGAGGGAGAGAGAAAGGGAGAAGAGGAGAAAATCGTTTAAGTGTTTTAACCTTCACTCTGGTCCGTGAGTGGACTTTCAGTCATTTCTTTCAACGTGACGGGGATTCCCATAAACTGCAGGTAACAGTCCCCGTACCACACCAGCAGCTCCTGCTGATCGCACACGTCTTTGCACGTCTCGTAGTAGATCTTCCCCTCGCACTGCAGGGCGGTCAGGTTTTGCTCCCGGAGTGACCGGGCGCAGTTCACAAACGCCATCCAGTTCCCGGCGACCCCTTTCCCGTCGATAAAGTGACTCAAACGGCCATCCTGGAAAATCTGAAACAGCACAGGTCAGGGACCGAATAGGGACCGAACAGGGACCGAATAGGGACCGAACAGGGACTGAACAGGGACCGAATAGGGACTGAACAGGGACTGAACAGGGACTGAACAGGGACCGAATAGGGACCGAACAGGGACTGAACAGGGACCCAATAGGGACTGAACAGGGACTGAACAGGGACCGAATAGGGACTGAACAGGGACTGAACAGGGACCGAATAGGGACTGAATAGGGACCGAACAGGGACTGAACAGGGACCGAATAGGGACTGAATAGGGACTGGACTGAGAAGGCTGTGTAAGCGCTCACAGACACTACCCCGCGAGAAGGGCGCTATATATATATATATACACACATATATATATATATGATATTTATATATATAAAGATGTGTAAAGGCGAGTTCTTGTTGCAATTGTGAGAGTTTGTTGGGAGAGAATTAAACTGCGTTTTGAATGTGTGGACGAGTGGAAACTTTTCCTCATTGTGCAATCTGTTGTTTCCGCCATTGCTCATTTTGGGCACTTTGGGTTCAGTCCCAAATAGCTTTTGTTGGCGAAATCTGGAGATGGAACAGAACGGGAGATATGTACCAGATGTGTGTGTGTGTGTGTGTGTGTGTGTGCAATCGCCTCTCTCTCTCTTCCTTGTCGTATGGTGTGTGTAAATCTCACCAATGTGCTGAGAAAGTGAGTGTCCAAACTTGTTCCAACCAACCGCACTGTTTTGAAGACGACCCCTAATAATATTGGACAACTCTCCCAGTGTGACCGACAGCACTCACCGAGAGAATTAACTCGCAGTGCCCGTCCACTCTGTGATAATATTGACCGAATCAAACATCGCCCGTGACAGCAGCTCAGCCCCGTCCTGTTGCAGCTGTGCACAGGGTTTATACTTAACCAAACGGTTCGTAAAGCGGTGCATCGAAATAGATGGCAACCGTTTAAAATGTTCGCGATGAAATAAGCGTTGGAGAACTTCCCACTGAGTTAAATGTTGACCTCTCTCACACACACATACACACACACACACACATACATACACACACATACAAACGATTCTTAATCCTTACCTCCCACATGAAGGAGTTGTCATCGTAGGTTTTAATCTCACTCGTGTTCACCACTTTTCCTGTAAAGGGTCCGAATCGAACCCCTTTGGGGATCTGATTTTGACAGCAGAAAACCCCAAAATGAGAAATTCCCCCACAGGTAGTGCGGGAAACAGAGAGCCCTGTGTGTGTGAGGGGGGGGGGGGGGGGAGAGAGAGAGAGAGAGAGAGAGAGAGGGTCATTCTGTACAACTGAACAGACACAGTACAAGAGAATGAGAGTAGCGTTCACTCACTCACCCTCTGGGATGTCTAAAGAGTCTCTTCTGTCCAGCAGCTGAAGCTGTAACTCATCACCTGGGGAAATAGAGGGATAAAGATTGTCACAGGGAGGGAGGGGGAGGGGAGGGGGGGGGGGGGGGGGGGTTTGCTCATGGACAGGGAATCAGCCGTTATTTGAACAAAACTTCCAATTGATAAATAATCATTGCATTTGCTATGGCGCTTCAAGGCGCTACACAGGATTTGACTGTAAATGGGTCGTGGACTGTGTATTAATAATAATCCTTAATCATTGACTGTATATTTTGTGTATGTGTGAAGGCAGCAATTAATTTGCCTGTAGCAAATGTCACCCCCCACCCCCCTCCCCTCCCTCCCTTCACCCCCCCCCCCCCCCCCCTCCCTCCCTTCACCCCCACACACACAGCCATGAAGTGAGTGGCCACCATTCTAAAAAAAACACATGCAGTGAAATTGCTCGTGGAGTATGCAGACGTTTTGCTGTGATGATAATAATAACAACAATGACAATCCTGGCCTTTGACATAGCGCTTCTCACGTCTTCGAAGGGCTTCACAGAATGCGCTGTGAAGTGAAGTGACTGTGTATGTTGTGGGCGAAACCTGGAAACCCAATTGCGCGCAGCGGTGTCCCCCCACAAACAGTCGGGGATTGATGGAGTGGTACAGTATTTGTGGTGTAATATTTTGTGGTCAGACAGGAAGGTTGGAAGTGGGGTTGGCCGCTGGGTCTCCCCCTCCCTCCCCCTCCCTCTCCCCCTCCCCCTCCCTCCCCCCCTCTCTCTCCCCCCGATGTTACCCCTGTGATGTGTTACCTGTCCTCTCTGTTATTCGCAGTCCTGAGATGGAGTGATTGACAGCCCGAGCGGCCCCGCAGACCTTCGTGTATCCGTACAAAACCCTGTTCAGGTCTTCCTCTGTGAACTGTCCGCCCCGGGGCTGCCGGGCCGCCAGGCTGACCCCCAGCCAGCGCCTGGCAGTGCGGGGCACCCGCCTCGCCTGGTGCCCGGCTTCGGGCGGCGCAAGGCGTGGAGCCGTGTCCCGTGGCTCGGGGCGGGCGGGGCTGCCGCTCATCCGCACTGGACTGAAGAGGGGCACAGAGGGCGGCGGGAGGAGGTCGCAGATGGCATCAGGGACCGAGGGGGAGTCACTGGGGAGGGAGAAGCTGGTGAAAGTGAAGGGCAGGGCGGGGCCCGGGTGACTGGCCAGTCTGCCCAGAGACTTCAGAGGATGCAACAGGTCTTCGGTGGAGCGTAGCACATCCATGTGTTGGTGTTGGTGTTGGTGTTGGTGCTGCTGCTGGTGCTGGTGGTGGTGGTGGTGGTGGGGAAAGGGCAGGAGAGAGGAGTAATATCCCGGGATCCTCGGAGCATTGGTGGCCTTGAAGGGCGGTCTGGGGTAAAGCTGGTCTTTCAGTGACAGGGCCATGGCTGTGTGAGAGGTGCGAGGCTTCCAGCCAGACAGTCACTACAGCACAGTCACCTGTGGACAGACACACATGGGCTGAGAGACAGAGAGACACAGACAGACAGAGAGACACAGACACACAGAGAGACACAGACAGACAGAGAGACACAGACACACAGAGAGACACAGACACACAGAGAGACACAGACAGACAGAGAGACACAGACACACAGAGAGACACAGACAGACAGAGAGACACAGACACACAGAGAGACACAGACACACAGAGAGACACAGACAGACAGAGAGACACAGACACACAGAGAGACACAGACAGACAGAGAGACACAGACACACAGAGAGACACAGACACACAGAGAGACACAGACACACAGAGAGACACAGACACACAGCGAGACACAGACACACAGAGAGACACAGACAGACAGAGAGCAGAAAGGCTGAGTGAGCACAAAACACACACCATTCAATTCACCTCAAATCCGGACCCTTCCCTTCACCCAATTCTTTTTCCTTTACCACCGCGTAACACACGAGGACCCGTTAATTGTGATTTTTTTTCAAAAAAAAACATTTAAACTAATGTAAAAAAATGCAATACTCGTATATCACGAGTATGAACTATTCCCCACACAAACCACCTTCCGGGGGTGTAGTTGCCTGACTTCTCATTATACTCCCGTTTTCCTAAATACCCTCGTCTTTTCCTGTCTGAAGTCGATTTTTTGGTTCACGGTAAAAAATGTGTGGCATTAGTTTTGCAGTCTCTGACTGACAGGGATTTTTTAACGGGATGTTTGTACACGTTTGGCTTGTGTTTATATTGGTGCCAATTTAACAACCTCCTCTCTCTCTCTCTCTCTCTCTGTGTGTCTCTGGTCCCAACCCCTGTGGGTCGGGACAGGGTCTCACTCACCTGGTCGGGGGCGACTTTAATATCAGTCCAAAATTCGGTCCAGTTAGTCCATTCCTATATGCATTATGCCATCAAAAGGTTTCGTTCACACAGTGAGTGTCGGCAGCTCACCCACGAGCCTATTTCGTGTTTAAATAATAATAATGATAATCCTTGCATTTGTTATCACAATAATAGTCATCCTTGCTTTCGATATAGCGCCCGATCGGGGTAATAATCCCTCCAAAATAATAGTAATAATGGTAATAATGTGGGACGCTGCTGTGCGCAATTGGCTGCCGCGTTTCGCCCGCAAAATACACAGTCACTACACTTTACCGTATGTTCTGGGAAGCGCTTTGAGACGCGTCAACAACGCGATGAGGCGCTATATCGAACGCGAGGATTACTATTAATGATAATACTATTAGTACTATTGTCGCCCCTTCGAGACGTCTCCGAGCGCTTCACCGATATACTGTGAATTCATGTGACTGTATATTTTATGGGCGAAATATACCGTCGATTCACTTTACAGTACATGTAGGAATATTCACACAAAAACGATACAACCCGAAACCAACAGCAAATGGGGAATCGGGATGCGATTCTAGTGTTATATAAAGGTTGCAAATAAAATAAAATAAGATAAGATCAGCTGCATTGTAATATGTACATTATCGGAAAGGCTAATGCATTAACATCTTAATTTGAAGTTGGTGACTGAAACAAAACTATGTCTATAGCGATTCTTCGAAAGGCACTTAAAGAAAACCCCAACGTTTCCATAATTGGAGGAACAGGTTACCAGAAAACTGGAGGTTCGCCTCAACGATTAGAAGTTAACGACAATAACCGAAATAATTCAGGTCGTTTGCAAATCAGATCACCAGTGCTGAGAGCCAAGTATAAAATTCCCTATTTTTGCGACCCCAAATTGAATGAAATACCCACTTCAACAAATTGGGGAGAGGTGGGGGGGGGGGGGGGGGACCATAACCGTTCTTGTGCGGTAACAAACTTTAATTGAATTTATTTTTAAAAACAAAACGAAAACCCCAAACCTTTAGCTTTTTGCAGAACAAAAGACTGGAAAACAATCGACTCCCAAACGCTGGTGTTGGTGCGACTCGAAAGAGAGGGAATTAAGGAGAAGTGACTGAACCAATCCCCCGCAGCAACTGCCTTCTTCAGTCAAGGTGACAGAAACAAAAGCTCTGACCGCAACCCTCCACCAACAAGAAAACAAATCCGATGCCATCCATCCATCCATTCACTGCAACATCCATCTCCTGCAATGACCAAACTAATATCTGATCAGGAAACCATTGGATCGGAAGCTGCCTCGCTTTACGGAATTACCTGGCGTTCAGCAGGTTTTGCACCTGGTTAGGAAGAAGGACTGGTGGTGGGAAATTGCCAATCCGCAGAGAAGTTATCACCCACACCTTCTCCTCTGTCCTCTGCAGAGCCCCAATGCAGCAGCAGCAGCAATTCTGTACCTGGGACTTGGGTTTGCAGCGAGTTGAGCTTCACCAAAGCCTATCCGTTTCACAAGCTGCCACATCAGGAGAGAAGAGACCAGTCAGACTGCGCGCTGTGGGTTTAATCTTAATGCCTCTTTAAGCAGCAAGGACGAGGACATTTTTTTAATATATATATATATGAAATTAAACTTTTTTGTGTGTATGTGAGCATCGGTCGGTCCAACGTGAAACAAAAGGACAATATGTACAGTGTTGCACTGTGTCCTGCCTCTCGCTGCACACTTTCATTCGTATTGTGTGTGTGTGTGTGTGTGTGTGGTGGGGGGGGGGGGGGGGGGTTCGCGAGCAAGAAAAAAAAGTACCCAATGTGAGCCAATAAACCTCGTTTGGTGACATTATTTTTGTCCTCGTTTGATTTGGAAATTTTGTAATTTTGTAATTGCAATTGTCTGCTTCCTTCGGTGTACCTGAGCCCCACGTTGTCGTTTCTCACTGTTTTACACCGTTTCTTCCTCGTTTCCTTCTCCCCTATCACACGCTCCTCGAATATTCTTTCTTATGCAATGTGTATTCCCCAGTCCCCAAATCAACGGCAACATATCTAATACGGTATGAAACGCCACTTGCATCGATATTAACACCAGTATTTGCAAAGCGGAAAAGTTAGCAATCCAAACATTCAGCTCAAAGTGCAATGAATTCGATATTATCCAGCGGATCAATATTCGCCAATAACTGAAACAAAACAGGGTCGTGACACTTAAATTAAAGAACATCGGGTCAATCACAGAGGTCACAGGGAACTGGATAATGAACACATCTAAACGCCTTGGTTAAGTATTGAGTAAACAAAACGCCAGTTTGAGCAATTACTTTTTAATTCTCTCGCTTACAGGAGCAAAGACTGATGTTCAAACTGACTCCCCCACCAAAAAAAAAACAATAATAATTAGACAATAAGGTCGCTGGAAAGGTTGAGCAGCGCTGGGAGTTACTTACGAGTTGTGGTCTTGCAGATCATTCAGGATATTGGACACCAGATGTAACTGTGAACTGTCTCCTTTTTCTTTCCTGACTTTCTTACTCTGTGTGTGTGTGTGTGGCTTGTGGTTTTAAGGTTGGCTGAGGAGCTTCTGTCGCTCTGAGGGAGGGAGGGAGGGAGGGAGGAAGGGGGGGGGAAAGGGGGAAAAAAAAAAGCTGTGTTGTGTTTTGTGGTCAGCTGAGGGCAGATGGCAAAGAGAGTGAGTAACAGGAGGAGCACCAGCGACTCCCCCTCACCCCGGCTATTGGTCAGAGAGAGAGAGAGAGAGAGAGCTTCCCCCAGAGACCCCACTTCAACACATTACATCCTCACAGTTCACTGGTCACCACCACCACTCACTCACTCACTCTCTCACTCTCTCACTCACTCACTCCAACCACAGATTTAGTATTTGAGTAGCGTAGTGACTGTATATATATATATATATATATATGAGTGCGTTTTTTTTAAGTAATATATACCAGTGCCTGTTGTTCATATCCACATACATCTCACCAGGAACTCAATATATCACAGGTTAAATAAACTCTTTCAATGACTGACAGCTTCTTTCCAACCCCCCCCCCCCCCCACCCACCCCCACAAAAAAAAACCCTCTCAACTCGCGCTCTCAGATGGAAAAGGTCCAGTCAGTATCTTTGTCAAACGTGTCCACTTCACGAGGATCAGCGAGGCTTTGGTTTCAGAGAGAAGTGGGGGCTCTTCGCTCAGTTCCCCACATCAACAGTCTGTCTCCTCACTGCAAACTCTGTGTGAAACCCGTGTGTTTCGTTTGATTGTACAGACAACTGATATAATCATCTGCTGTGGTTGACCCAGACTTTAACTGCAGGAATCATCCTTAAAATGTGTGGTATGGAATATTTTATTATTTGGGGGATCGGGAATGGGGGGATATAGACTCGGCCTCGATATATTTGCTGCTAAAATGTACGAGGAACGAAATCACAGGTCGTCATTCTATTTGCTTCGCCCACAGAATACAGTCGATTCACTTTACGGGATATTCTGCGAAGCGCTTCGAGACGTCTCGAAGACGCGATAATGCGCTGCATCGAATGCAACGATTGCACAGTCTGAGTAAATCAACGAGAACAGTTCTCTTTATTATCTTTTTTTGCAGCAGCGAAGATTCACTCTCACCTCTGAAAGAAGCCTTTTATATCAAAAAAATAAAGCTTGTGTTTATATATATATATATATATATAGATATATACTCCTGGAAAACGACGTAGGGCAGAAAGGAAAGTTTGATAGGAAAGATATAGTTTTATTATTTAAAAAAAAATACGAACAGTTGTTATTGAATAATGCAAATACTGAGAAAATGTTGATCGATTTCCCCCCCCCCCCCCCCCAAAGATATATATATATATATATATAGCAATTGCCTGAACAAACTGAATGAGTTAGGATTTAG